ATTATTGAAGTATTTTTTGTTTTGTGCTTGGATAATATCATAGTAAAAAATATTGTTGTTGAAAGAAAAAATATGCATAAAGAATGCCAACTATATTTGTTATCTGATGGATGATAGGGATTGAATCAATCAATTTTCTTGGTGGTAATCCCAATTAGGGTTGATAATCGAGCTGAGCATGAGTTCAGCTTGTTTTAGGCTCGGCTTGTTTTCTTAATAAGTTAAGTTTGAACAATTTTATAGACTTGTTTAGAAAAACGAGCTTAAAAGACTTACATTGAGCTCACAAAGCGCGGCTAATTTATATATAAAATAATTGAGTTATTCGGACTCGGCTCGTTTTTTGAATTAGTCACTCAACAAGCTTAACTTGATTATCAGTTGTAATCCCAATTATCCACATGGGCCTGAAAATCGGTTAAGAGTGAATTATAACTTCATCGTGCCAACTATAGGCAAGTCCCTTTTATATTGTGTAAGATGGTCCCAAAAACCTACCTCAAGAAAAAAGGTATACCGTGTTGGAAGATAGGGCACGTCTTTACAATGTTCATTAAGGTAACCATAACTTCAATGTTGTCATCACGTTTGATTTGAGTACTTAGGTAGACAACAAAGTGACAAAAAATAAATAAAGTACATTAAAAGACACATGACATTTATGTGATTCAACAAAAAACCTTGCCTGCATCCATGGAAGATGATCAAATCTACTATGAAAGAAATTTAGAAAATCAATATAAGCTAGTCACTCAATTTTGGTCCCCAAACCCTTGTACACTCATCTTAACTCACACTCACCCAACTTAATTCCTATTTTCTCTGTAGCCACATTCTTTTAAGTAAACTATTTAAGATCTTGATCAGAGAGACATAGAAAAGAATTCAAAAATAGTCATTACGTCATGTTTCAGTCACTTGAACAATTATGATACAGATTTTACGTCCGTCTAAGTAGATAAAGTCATAGTGCTCTCCGCAATTATACAAATACGCCAACACCCATTGATAGATAGAGGAAATTGGAATTGTCAACAAATGCATCGACTTTCATATGCACATTTTTCTTTACATTATATTTGTTTGCAAAGACAACTATTGCTTGTAAAAAAGCAGTTCACAAACTTACAACACTCAATGTTCCCATAAACTAAGTAAACGATGACTATCCTTAAATGTTATAAAAATATCTCTCCACTTCTGTACCTTCCTTTTCATTAACCACTCTCATCCCACTCATCCTTATATTTTCTGTAAAAACTCTCCATGTTCAATTCACAAAGTAAATTAAACTTTGAATTCTCGGGTGTAATGGTTATACAATGTCAGCAATATTACGTGATGTAATTATTCGATAGACTTTTCTAAAAACTTTCACCCAAGATCTAAATTTCTAATAATCGAACTCGAATCCAAGTCTAACTAAAGATTTTTTTTGAGTTGTACCCAATTAAAAGAAAATCAATTCATAATGAGCTGTGGGGGATGTGCGAAGGAATAAAATTGTCCGAAGTTCTTCCTGGAACCAAGGTAGCTGTGCGTGCAAGATCCTGCACAATATAAAAAAACGGGAACAGATCTCTCCCCTGGTGAACTCGAGTGAGCGGGTGGAGTGACCAAACACGCTGCTTAGGACAGCCTGCGAGGTACGGTGGTAACCTGGAACGGCAACGGGAGACCCTGGGAAAGGAAGAACGATCATGTGAGGCTGAAAGGGGTTCCTGGAACAAAGAAGAACAAGTTAGAAGGGCGCCGGAGTGTTTTTCGGCGTATCCCCTCCGACGGTCTAGTCAGTCTTTGAGTGAGAGAGAGGAAGGAGAAAACACTAAGAAAAATGTATTGTAGTAGAGAGTTTGTTGTTGCATACCCGCTTTGCCTTTTGCAAGGAGTATTTATACCTTGAAAGCTCATGATTGCTGTCAGTGTCGTCAGTAGGTGATCATTAGGCTCAGGTAGCGTGTGCATTGATTCTGATGAGGAATGTCTTCTCTAATTAACTGCTCGGGGTCCCGAACAATCAATGCTGGACCGTCGGGATGCCGACGGTACAATGTGCTCCTCTCGGGGAGGATGCAATAAATGCTCTGTAATAGGAGCATTTATTGCCTTTCATTTCCGAGCCTTACCGCATTGAATGCGGTCTCATCAAGGGAATGGTGCAATTAATTGTTTGCTTTCCCAAGTCGCGTGTTAGCAGCGGCATGCGGTTTGTCTGTCTTCGATGTGATATCATATGCCACGCGTCCATCCCCTATTGGCTGTGACCTCTGCATTCCAGTACGTTCTGANCTGGAACCAAGGTAGCCATAACCTTAATGTTCACAAAATTATGAAACAATCGCAACCTTAAAATGTTTCAAGGAAAGTTGAGTCATTCTAGATGTTCCTTGTCTTTAACCCAATCAAATGGTGAGACTATTCATTTCAAAAATTAAGAATGTGAACAGTGTTTCCAAGAGTCAACTGAAGGTTACAACAAAATGAGATTGTAGTATGAATCTATCGATTGTTTTGCCACTATACAATATGTTACAATAAAAATGTTGTTTTTGAAAGACAAATATGTACAACAAACCCAACCAAATTTGTCTTTGGGTTTTTTTTTTAAAAAAAACGGGTAAGATAAAAAAGAATGTCTAAAACCATCATGATAGATTCTCATTGGTAAGATNATAGATTCTCATTGGTAGGATCATAAGACCCTTGATCGCCCCTATTACATCTCTAGAAACGAATTTATTTAGACTAGCATAATGATTAACTACTGAGTCATAATATGAACTCTAAAACTCAAATCTCGAACCTAAGGGTAAAAAATTCAATCGATACTCTATTAAACTACTTCAATCGATGGTAATTCGTTCTTTGGTTGATGATTAGAGTCGAATCCCTGAATTTTCTTTTTGGCGTGAATATCGATTGAGAGTGAATTCTAATAAACGCAAGTCCATGTTGATTTTTATGCCTTGTAAGATGGTTCAAAGGCATGCATAGCGTGTCGGGAATAAAGGCACCAGAGTCTTCGGCAGTGATTGTGGAAATATGATTTTTTGTTTTGACTTGATCTAATTGGCTGTTTGGGTTTGTATAAAACTTTGACTGAGGAGAGACAAAACAACCCACTGCAACTTCAAAGTTACTCAGACAATCGATTCATTTAACCACGTCTTTTCATAGAATATTTCAGGTTGATGCTTGCTTCATCATCCTTCACCACCTTGTATGTGCTACAGCAACTGAAAAATTATCTCATATCAAGCTTATAACAATGGGTTACTGGAGGTTGCTTTTCTTCCTTTCTCATATCATCATAAACTTTGTTTGCCTCACTGTTGCACAGCTTTCATACAAGTACTGTACTGGAGACAATAGTACTAGCAGCATGTATGAGACGAATAAGAACACTCTCCTCTCCTTCCTCGCTCTCACTATTGATAGAAATGGATTTTACAATTCCTATGTTGGCCAAAACGCTGATAGAGTTAATGCGGTAGTATTTTGTCGAGGAGAGGTTGAGCTGGATAGCTGTCGTAGTTGTGTTAATGATTCCTCTCGTAACCTCATGCAACTTTGTCCAAACTACCATGAGGCAATTGGATGGTATGATAAGTGTACGATAAGGTTCTCAAATAACACTATATTCCATATGGTAGATATTAGCCCAGCTATGTGCATGTGGAACACTAATAATGTATCGGACATGGTACAGTTTAATCAAGCATTGAGGACCTTGTTGGATAGCCTACGGAGCCAAGCTACATCAGAAGATTTTTTGCGCAAGTTTGCTACCGGGAACATTAGTGGCCCTGACTTTCAGACAATATATGCACATTCACAGTGCACCCCTGATTTATCTAACATTCAATGTAACGACTGCTTAGATGGGGCTGCTAGACAAATCCCGAGTTGTTCCAATGGAAAAGTAGGAGCGAGACTTCTAAGGCCCAGCTGTAACATTAGGTATGAGAATGAGCGTTTCTATATCTTCCGGAAAAAAAATAGTTTAAAAACCATAATAGATGTTCTAATTAGGGGAAACAAATCCAGTGGCAACTCAAGATGAATACAAATTGAATGTTATTTTGTACTAAGAATTAAATATTCTAGGTCCATTTTACACATTGAAAATGCAGAAAAACAACTCGACAAGATATCCTTAATAATTAAACATCCTCAATTAATTATTTTCTTCTTCGCCCTGATTTTCTTTTATTTTTTATCTCATGTTTGGTAAGTTTATTAATACGCCATTTGTTCTTTGAGAGGATAAAAAAGGAAAAGAGCTGCCCCAAATACCACTAGAAATTCCAATTTATGAATTTACGTCACCAAATATTTCGGTCACCGCATATTTTTACAGTTAGTACCCTATTGACCTAATCACTAGATAAAATTTCTTGACAAAATTGAAGTTCAACCTTTGAATCAAGGTTTCAACAATGAACAATGAGGCTTTAGAAGGCAGTAAGCAATACTACAATAGGTTTGTTAGCCACAAGAAAAAGAAATTTGTTAGTTGATTTTGCTATCATCATTGCCATGAACTAAAAAAAATGTAAATGGAGCATATCTTTTTGGGTTGATGCAAAAATCCAATCGTCATGCCAATACTTAGCCAACTACCCTAAGTTGTAGGCATCGTCTTGCTCATTACATTCCTATCTTTTCCTAAACAGCTGCAGGAAAATGATCACGTGCTCGTATTTAGATTTCCTTCTAGTTTATTTTTCATCAATGGCAGATCATAGGTCATTAATTTAACTAGAACTCACTGTATAAGTGTGATCTCGATCAATTTGTGATAGGTAATCTAATTAAGAAAAAAGTATACAGGCAAGAATTTGCTTCCTCGGATGATATAATAACGGATTTTGACTTAAAAGGAAGAAAATATGCACAGTTCTGAAAGTAAATTCGAGGTAGAGAAACCCTCCTTTAAATCCCCCAACATATTTCTTCCCTAGCAATTCAGTTTTCTCTGCAGAAAGAAAATCTCTCACATGGCAAGGAAGAGCAAGGGTCGCCAAAAGATTGAGATGACAAGAATGTCAAAAGAGAGCAACTTACTCGTCACCTTTTCAAAGCGTCGTTCTGGTCTCTTCAAGAAAGCAAGTGAGCTTTGCACCCTTTGTGGTGCAGAAATCGCCATCATCGTCTTCTCACCAGGGAAAAAGGCCTTCTCTTTTGGCCACCCTTGTGTTGAATCAATCATTGATCGTTTCATGACTCGAACCCTTACACCGAGTTCAAGCACTACTCTGCAACTCGTGGAGGCCCACCGCAATGCTAATGTCCATGAACTCAACATGCAGCTCACTGAAGCACTTAACATAATGGAAACAGAGAAAAAGCGAGGCGAAGAACTCACCAAGATTAGGAAAGAAAGTCAAGATAGGTGTTGGTGGGAGGCTCCCATTGATAAGCTTGGTCTACAAGAACTTGAGCAATTGAAAGTAGCAATGGAAGAGCTCAAAAAGAACGTCGCAAAGCAAGCTGAGAAGATTATCGTGGAGGCATCAGAACCCTCGCCATTTTTTGGGGCATCGAGTTCTAGGGGAGGGCATGTTGGCTCCATTGATGCCAAGGGGTCTAGCCTGGGACTTTCCATGACACCTCATGGATATGCGCTCGGATATGGTCGTGGATTTTTCTAATATTCTATGCATATATATATATATATTATTTTTTTTCATATACGGGTAGGGGTCCTGTCAAACCCCCCATCCACACTTAGTGGCTTTTGAAAAAAAAAATATATATTATTTTTTTTCTAAATTTGGACTCTTCCCAAACTTTACATTAGTGGGAGGGTCACTCTTTTGAATTTTGAGTGAATAATGTTAATTTATTTTTTCATCTACTGATGCTTTTTAAGTTTTGTTGTTGGGGTTTATGAGTTTTTAGGCTAATTCTAAAGCCTCTATCAACTTTATTTGTTGCAGTAGTGAGTCACGTTGAGGCCTGGGGGGTTAAAGATCTCAGTAATTTTCCGAAAATAGTATTTTTCTTTATCAAATTTTATGTAATTCTTAAGAAGTTATTTAGTTGGCATCTCTCTCCAATATTAATATTTTTTTTCACCTCCAACTTTGAAAATTGTAGTTCCGCCCGTCCAAGTTTTTTGTGCTTCTCTCTCCATTCCTTTGGTAACTAAACCACCGGTGAGTAATGCAATAAGAAGTCCTTGGATTATGAAACAGAATTTTGCTAAGGTAGCATGATATCAATAACCATTTCTTTTTGGATCAAGGAGAGCGAGATGACAAATCATGCTCTTTAAGATGTTGAAACTTAGGTTTATATAGCCTTGTTCATTTTTTCTTGAGAAAAAAAGATTTGTTGTTCGTAAGATAAATGTAGCAATGAAAAGTTTCAAAGGCAAAAGTTTTCTTACTTTCAGATCTTTCTAAGACTTTTTTTTTTCTAGTTATTGACAAATCATTTATCATTAAAGAGCGGCGGACCTACTTAATATACAATATTCTTTGAATTCACGATCAGTGTGATGGGGAAATTAGCATAATTATATATAATTTTAATTCTAAATTCATATCAATATCACATAAACAAACACAAAATAATAATAAATTAAAAATAGAATAAAATAGATACTACAAATTAGAAAGAATTGGTCTGCGAGTCCAAGAGTCGTGTGAACACTTTCCTAAAACAGCTAAGTCTTTCCGCGTGAGGGTACTGACAGACACCAGCGACTCCAAAATCAAACCCAGACGCTTGCAGCAGCACCTCCTCAATGGTCATACCCACTGGAAGGAAGGGTGAATCTGACTCGAATCGAAGTTGCCAAAAGTAAACTAATTTCAAATATTTGTAGGCATGCAAATGTAATAATAGACAAAAAGAAATATGTAGAAAAAATAGCAACACTTGGTGAAAGAGGAGCATATAGAAAAGATGGTAAAACTATCCATCTTCTATGCAAAACATCCACCTTGTTTTATAGGCACCGTCTTAATGACTCTTGAATGATAGGCTTTAAAATATATTAGTATGTAACTTCTAAGCTATTGAGCCTATATCAATTTTATAATTAAATGACATGAATATGCAATAATTAAATTTCAATAGTAAAGTTAAAAACTGAAAAATTAATACAAAATAATTAGTTATGTAGTTTTTAAAACCTTTATTTTAATTTATTCTAACAATCCTCCACAAGTTTTGAAAACTTCGAAATAACCCAAATATATTTATAGGTGTAGATGTCTTTCGGACTTGAACCTCACTTAGTGTTAACAGTCTTCCCCTAAAGGATCATACTGACCAAAGGCTTGAACTAGACCTTTTGAGTCAGAGTTCAACTATCACACACACAGTACTGATATTGGTCAGGATTCGAGGGTCAGTGCGTTTAATGACCATGCACTTGATATTGATTCTCATGAGAGTTTCTAGATAATAGTCCAATTCTCATAGTCGCCGTCTCACGACTACCCTCACTTAGGTAAGTCCTCCAAGGGTACATGTGCACAATACCCTGTAGGAATGTTTCTGCCTCAGTCTCATTCAAGGTAAAATCCTTCCTTACCGTTATTCTACATATGCACTTCGGCCATAAGAATGAGCATGAAAATATCTCCTCTTAGGATATTTTCTCAATAACGGTGCTAATGACTTACGCAATATGAATTGTTTCTACCCATTGAACTTCTTTCATGGGGTCTCCAATCACAGAAGTTAGGTTACCTCCCTAGGTGACTCCCTTACGGGCTTAAGCACATTCCCCTCGACAGTTCTTGAGATAGCTTTTCTCAAAAGCAAGACTTTCCTCAAAAGCTCACTGATCAAATTAATCAGCCTTTATATATTTGTATCTCATAGCTTTCCTCAAAAACTTTTTAATTCATTCGTCAGCTTTGTTTAGTTGAAATTTAATAAATATCATAATAGTTACTCTTCACATGTTGGTGTCTCTGAGTGTGCACACTGTCATATCTTCTCATTGATTTGAACCTGTCTTTCAAATAACTCTTACAAAAACACATTAAAGTGCATTTATTTGAAAACCCTTAGGTATGAAACAATTTATATAAACATCTCTCCAAATGAAAGATTATAACAACATTAAGCAAATTCAACAGGTCCTTCATATTTTATTATCTTAAATTTTACCTCCACATTTTCAAGAATTCTCATGACAAATTGACACATGCTTCATAAAAGTAGCATTTGCATCAACCCCCACATTGCATGACTTTCTTGCCCAACATATTGAATAAATTGAGTTCAAGAGAAAAGGTGAGCTTGAGGCTCGCATATACACATAGAACACAAATGTACCTCAATTTGATAAATATAAAACTCATGCTTAATTTTGTTAAAGGTCGCCTTGTTCATTTGTTGGACTATTGGTTTACTCAATGCTATCTTGACCATACCAAAATTGTCACACCCATTCTATCCCAACATCTGAAAGGATAATTTAAATACATTTCAACTTACCTCAATTTTTTTTTTTAAATAAAAATATTTTTTCTAAACAACCTATAAATATTATTTAAATTAAAAGTTTCCATTTTTCTTTTATTGGACCAAACCATATATCCCGATATCAACACACATATTCCATGATTTCCCTCTCAATTATTTTTCCTATAATTCTTGATGGTTTGCGAGTATTAAAAGAAAACCAATATCCATATTTATTACGAATGACGCAAGAACTCAAGATGCCATTGTACAATTGGTGGCAAATAACACCTCCTACATACTAGATCATATACATGAGAATACACTGCTAATTATATAGTCAGGCATTTACATGAGTTAGGTGTCAACATGTTCAAAGTTTTGAATCCAAATGCAATTGTTTTTCAAATAATCACAAATTACATAAGGTCCCTCTAACTAATGTGATTTTACACTAATTTGATATCACATGTATATATTCATGTAATTAAGTGTAAACACGTTAATCGTTAATCAAAACGATAATATCTCCAATAATAATAAACATGTCCTTAATTTATAGAATAAACATAGTGACACACATTGATTGATCTAACATTCCTCAAATAACTATTAGGTCCCCACTAATTTTGAAACTTTAGTTAACACCTACTTACCTCATGCTATAAATATCAAAGAAATAATAAGAGAAATGCAAAGAACTTGTATTGAATTTAAATGTCAACTGTCAAAACTCTATTTGTAACGAAATTAAGAAAAATGTTTGAATTATTGTAATTGCTCTTGAAACTTTAATTTTTTTTTTTCAAAGCAAGTAGCTATATATTTTTTTAAAAAAAAACAAGTAGGTATTGATTTTTTTTTTTTATAATTGTTGTAGATCCCTTTAGACATTCTGTTACTAAAAAAAATTCAATAAAAACTGTTATCTTTTTCAGGAAACTGTTTTCCAGAAAAAAAGAAAAAAAAAAATTTTTTCAGAAAACAGTATTTTTTTTTCCCAGTCTCTAGAAGACAGTTTTTTTTTTTTTTTTAAGAAAAACTGTTTTTCCAGAAAATTCAAAAAACTGATTTTTTTTTTATAATCATTGTTGTTATAATACACATCTAAATTTTATGAACATTTTCATAGTGACTATCTTACTTATAGCACTATTTGACTTTTAAGTAAAGTACATAATAGTATCATATTGTGGTGCTGCTTCAGGTGGATGGATGATCCAAATCCAAACAAGTTCCTCTTAGTTTATACCTTCTTCTGAAAATAATAGTTAGTCTAACTCATCCCATCTTAAAGATGGATTCTAATGTTGGGATCCAAAGACGAGTGTCCAGAGTACCGGATGACTTCTCGTGTATAACTTAGGACTGGCCTCCATCTCCTGTCATTATTTTTTTTCGTTATTTTTTTTAAAATCACAATTATTTTATTTTAAAATAATATAAAAAACAGTCCTTAAGACAATTTTAACACAACAAGAAAATTATTTTTGCAAGGACTGTTTCATTTAGAATTATCAGCTGCTTTAGATTGTTAAGGAAATTAGCATAATTATATATAATTTTAATTCTAAATTCATATCAATATCACATAAACAAACACAAAATAAGAATGAACTTAAAATAGAATAAAATAGATACTACAAATTAGAAAGAGTTAGTTTGCGAGTCCAAGAGTTGTGTGAACACTTTCCTAAAACAGTTGAGCCTCCCCACGTGAGGGTTAATTGACACCAGCAACTCCAAGATCAAACTCAGACGCTCGCAGCAGCACCTCCTCAACGGTCTCGCCCACTGGAAGGAAGAGTAAACCTGACTCGAATCGAAGTTACCCAAAGTAAACTAATACCAAATATTTGTAGGTATGCAAATGTAATAATAGGCAAAAAGAAATATGTAGAAAGAATCGCAACACTTGGTGGAAGAGTAGCATATAGAAAAGATGGTAAAATTATCTATCTTCTATCTAAAACATCCACCTTGTTTTATAGGCACCGTCTTAATGACTCTTGAATGATAGACTTTAAAATATATTAGTATGTAACTTCTAGGCTATTAAGCCTATATCAATTTTATAATTAAATGGCATAAACTTGCAAGAATTAAATTTCAATAGTAAAGTTAAAAACTGAAAAATTAATAAAAAATAATTAGTTATGTAGTTTTTAAAATTTTTATTTTAATTTATTCTAACAAAGTGATGTGTCAAGAACGAAAATAGATAGAAAGTATGTAGGAGGGGATCTCACTCCCTTTTTCTCTCTTATTGTCTCAAAATCAACATGTCGGATATTTGCTCAAGACCAATTTTGGTTTATAAACAACATTTTTTTCAAGTCATGTGAACTTAGCTCGATAAACTAATTAATATCCTAAAATTATTCCAACTACTCCACTAAACTTAACAAAAACTCATTTAAGATTTACTGGTTACGTATATAGGTCTGCCATTCCCAACCCACCAAGCGAAACTGGTAGCTTCATGGTCACGACAACTGAGACAATTGAAAAAGGTACAAATTAATTAGATCAAATAAGAAACCACATCTTTCAAATAAATGATTAATAATAATGGAAATGCCGGATATCCAATCTTTCAAGTTCAAAGAAGAGGGTGCTAGTGGTTTTGCTCGAGGGTTTCTAAAGTGTATTCTCTTTGTAGTTGGCCGGTATTATCCAAAGTTTCCATAAACAAGTTCCGTATTTTCCAAACAAGCCCAGCATAAATTATCGTCGAGTATTTTTTTCCATATAAATCTTATCCTTGCAATTGTTGAATTTAATTTTTCCCTCATGATTTTTTAAAAATAAAATTTCCATTCAAGTTTAGTTTCAACTCAAAAAAAAAAAAAAAAGTCTCATTTTCTCGATTTTCATTACTTCCGTCTATCTGTATCGCACTCACAATATTTTTTTTCCATTCCAATCTTACAATTCTTTTCAAATGGATATATTTATGTATTTTTTTTTTTGGGTGGTGAAAATGAGATTTGAATCCTGTGTGCGTTTCAAAGTGACTACAAGTTTATTAAATTAAGAAAGCCCTCGAATCCAAAGCTTTATGTGTATATAACACTCGGTCTGGTTCCTATTATTCGGGGGGTCTAAGATGTGTAGATTGTGGACGGACTTAACATTTGGCGTAGTTTACACGAAGTAGCTGCTACCCTCAAGTTCAATCCACAACCTCAAGGTTTTGGGCCCACAAATCCTATGCTGCAATCTGCTGTGGGCTTTTCTAGTTGGAAGAACTGCTGATGCTATGGGCTTTGTTGGAGTCGCCTGATGTGTTCTCTTTGCTTCATCTAGTTGTTTTTTTGCTTCTCATCATGTATACTTCTGTTCTTGGGATGGCATCTCTACTTCTGTTCTGTTTAGAAGAGCTGCCATCCCTTTTGTCCCTTTTATTTTCTTGACTGGTGTCAACTGTACATGGGATATACTTTGTATACAAATCCCTTTTCGGTTTAATGAAATCCTTACTTACTAGGGAAAAAAAAATCCTAAGCTTGTCTAGGTTGTGCTAGAAAATATGTTTTTTCATTTCAGCCTGCAAATCTTGATAGGTAGCATCAAAGTCTTGATAGAATTTTATTTCTTTTGCTTTAAGTTCTTTCTTGGTCAATTATAGTTGAAGCACATATATGTATCCTCATGGATTAAGATCCTATCAAATATATTTTTATTCAATGATAAAGCACTCATAATGAAATCAATTGAACCTCAAAATATGTAGGTAGATTTTTGGTCGGTATAAAATAGATGATCTACCATCGAGAAGAAGCGATAGAATCATAGAAAGTATATAAGATGGTTCACTCCTCACTCTCTCACAGTGCTTCTGCAAGAATGATACTCTCGGTTACACTATCACTAGAGTGTAGGGATCAACAGCTAAGTGTCATTAGTGCAATTTAATATTGAAATGTTTCATAACCTGTGAAATTACTAATTGACTTTAGCATGCCAAAGTCAACTAACTTTTTATAATGCCAACTAATTGAAAATTGATTTCACAATCTTCATGCATTAAGAGGATGAGATTTTCTAACTCCCAAATCAATGAATGATTGAACACAAAAAAGAAAATGCTAATCAAAACCCCATTATTTTGGCCAGCTTTTTGCAGTTAATCTAAAACCCCTTTAAATACCAAAGCTCCTCCTCCAAAATTCTTCATACTAAAGCTCCAATACAACATCTCTCTCTCTCTCTCTCTCTCACTCGTAGCCTTACATAGTGTGAGTCATGGCAAAGAAGCCAAGCATGGGACGCCAGAAGATCAAAATTGCAAAAATACAGATCAAAAATCACTTGCAAGTCACCTTCTCCAAACGTAGGTCTGGTCTTTTCAAAAAGGCAAGTGAGCTTTGCACACTTTGTGGAGTTGAAATTGCCATAATAGTCTTCTCTCCGGCTGGAAAGGCATTCTCTTTCGGCCACCCTTACGTCGAGTCCATCGTCGATAGGTTACTCACTCGGAACCCTCCCCCAAACTCCAATGCCCTCCATTTTGTCGAGGAGGCTCATCAGACCGCCACCGTCCGAGAACTCAATTTACAACTCACCCAAGTTCTTAATGAACTAGAAGGTGAGAGAAAAAGGGGTGAGGCACTGGACCATATCAGAAAAGCTAGCCAGAGCCACCACTGGTGGGAAGCCCCCATAGACGAGCTCGGTTTGAATGAGCTTGAACAACTGAGGGACTCCATGGAAGTGCTGAAGAAGAATCTAAGCAATCAAATCAGCAAGATCATGACTGATCAGGCAGCAAACCCTTCGCCATTTTTTGATTCTTTTGATCACTTTGAGAGTAAACCAGTTCAGGTCCATTTTGCTTCAACTGCACCTCAGCTCTGTAGCTTTGGATATGGCCATGAATTTTTATGAACTTTACTGTCAAGGGTACGTCCGAATCAGCTTACGAAGTCTTTTGTCCAGTTTGATTGCAGTTCCAACCCAGTACCTCACTGGTCTTCACTACCAATTTATTACTCCAATTTTCGGTTACTATTTTGTATGGCATGACCATGATTTTTCATCTAAGCCTTATTGCAGTACATTAGTGGAGATATTTATTTATTCTATATAGAAGTTACAAATTATAGTTTAGATATTTATTTGTTGACCTACTACATTATAGATATAAAAGTGGTAGTGGATCTCAACTAATAGAGGAGTCTATTGTCAATTTAATAACAAAAATTATTTAAATCAATAAATTAAAGACAAGTAGCATTGTGCCTTGATAATTGGTCCATATGTTTCAAATTTACGACTACGGAAAAGAAGAGTACATCACAATGCCCCATCATCTCGACATTATAGAAACAGTAAATATTATAATTGATCCCTAAATTTTGTTTTTGATTTTAATTTGGTCTTTAAATTTTTAATTATTTCAATTTTTTCCTTTAACTATTAATTTCGTATTAATTAAGTCATTTTACTTATTTCTAATATTAGATCAACCGGAGACTAACTCAATCTAATCTATTTTAAGCATTAAATCATATTTTTTCATTTTGATCTAATGGTAAAAATAGACAAAATGACTTAATTGACACAAATTTGATAGTTTAAGAATTAACTCAAGACAAATGAAAGTTCAAGGACCAAATTAAAATCAAAGATAAAATTTAGAGACTAATTATAATATTTACCCTTATAGAAATAACATGGTGACCCAAAATTAATGAAAGAAAATCTTGCACTTCTTTAATCGAGATAAATAAAAAAAAAAAAAAAAGTAGTATCGATTCGGTTTGTGCATTTCTCTCAGTAAACAGAAATTCATGTGTTCTTATGTTTGTTCTGTAATGTCAAGTAATTACAAAGTCCATAATTGTCGGTCTAACCCTTTTGGAACTTACTAAAAAAACTAAGTAAGAACAATAAACATTTCCACATCACAGAGTTTCCATATCTGAAAGGGAATAAAAATCCACGACAACCTAATTTTTTGGGATTTTTCAATCAACCAAGAGCATCTTTCTCCTACAAATAGTTTTAAATAATAATATTATTTACACTTAATTTATTGACATATTATTTAAATATAATTTTATTTGAACATAATTTAGTCACTTAATTTATCACAATTATTAGGTTCGTAGCGAATCTCAACAAATATTAGGACCTAACGTTAATCTAATGATTATTAGTGATTAAGTCGATAAATTAAATTTTTATAATTTGCTAAATTCTTAAATCAATAAACCACCCGTCTTCTTCAACCCAATATTTACAATTGAGTAATGTTATTACATCTAAAAATTTAAACTAACTTGTTGATCAAAATTATTGAGAAAAAAAAAATTTATAAATCTAATGATATGATTTCATTATAATTATTGAATTAATATTATGTTCTAATGTTTGATACATAATCAACCTAAAACCTATAGTGAATTAAATTAACAAATTAAAAGTAATGTTATTTGAACCTAATTTGTTATTCATTGGATCAGACCCAAATTTTAATGTTTGATCAGACCCACGATTAATCTAAAAATTGTAATAAAATAAATCAACAATCTATAAATTATATNGCCTAAATTTTAATGTGACCCACGATTAATCTAAAAATTGTAATAAAATAAATCAACAATCTATAAATTATATCCAATAGCTTTACTCATAAATTAATTACAGTATTTCCAAAACTTTCTACCCTAGAACTCATCTTCCCTCTTTCCCTCTCTTTGAATCTCCATGAACACATCAACCAACATCATGATGAAGAAGAAAACCCAGGGCCGAAAGAAGATCGAAATCAAGAAAATAGAAAAACCAAGCAACAGGCACGTCACCTTCTCCAAGCGCCGCTCCGGCCTCTTCAAAAAGGCCGGCGAGCTTTCCATCTTAACCGGCGCAGAAGCAGCCATTATCGTTCAGTCTCCGGGAGGACGTGTATTCGCTTTTGGCCACCCGAGTGTCGACGCCGTCGTCGACCGCTACCTCGCCGGAAGCTCCGGCTCTCAGCATTCTGTGGAAGACGCCATTAACGACGATCACATGCATGAGTTCAAGAAACGTTATTCTGAAGTTTCTGAAGATTTGGAGGCGGAGAGGAAGAGAAAAGTGGCGGTTGAAGAAGCGAAGAGGGTGAGTAGTGGTGGGTATTGGTGGAATGAACCAGTTGATGATTTAGGGTTAGAGGAGCTTGAGAGGTACATGGCTTCATTGGAAGAGTTGAAGAAGAAGATGACCATGAGAGCTGATGAGTTGATGATGAATAGAATTTCTTCATCGAAGTCATCGTTTTTGGAGGTGAATCGAGCCCCAAATAACATAGGGCTGGCTGATTATGGTGATGCTATGATTCCTCGTGGCTTTGTCCATGGACATGGGCAAATTTGAAACTCTTCTAGTGCTGACGACGTGTGTTACCATTACCTTAAATATTTTTCTTGGTAAAGAAGTTAGGAAATTATCGTGGATGATCATGTATTAGAGACTATTAAGAATCAATTTTTCTTTTTTTTAGTTTCTAGAATCGAAAAGAAATTAAAGTTGGTGTTGATCGGCAGTGTTGAGTCTGTATTTTAGGGTTTGAGGAAATTACCCTAACAATCAAACTAGGGTTTCCATTTTTAACATATTTTGATACATTGTAATTTCTTATGGTTGATCATTCGTCATGACTTTAAGCACATCACATTACGTATAAGTTGATCTTGTAATATAATATATGGTGGATGATTTGTCATTGGAAAAAAGTAAGACACATTATGTAAATCTTTTTTTTGTTTGACTAAATCCAACCTATAGTTCAACATGGGAGCAATTTCTGTAATGCTACTTATTAGTCCAACATTTACTTGGAAAAATTACCTAGTAAAGGAGCCCTATCAATATTGGGTTCCTGTGGTAAGACATTCACCACAGACACTTTGCATTGCTTAGCTATTCTATCCTTAAAGAAGCCCTGACCAACCACACACACAGAGTCATTCCTACATTAGGCCGAATGAGCTCAATCCATCATGCCCAAGTACAGGTGATTTTAATGGAGTTTGGGACTTGTTTCTTTTGCTCAGGGCAACAAGGATGCTTAAACCCCTCTTCTTTTGGGAGTGTCTTTGTTATCCTATTCCACTTTCCGTGACAATTCTTTTTGATATGGGTTTGGTTCCGATCATATACCATGTTTGTGGGGGCTGTTAAACAATCGGAGCATTTTGAGCACGTTCAACTCATTTTGGGTCGTTCAAATTGCACAATAAACTGGATCAATTTGATGAGTTTTTTGAGCTCATTTTATAAATGAGTTAATAAAAACAGCGTGTACCTTAGTTTTAGTAAACTCAAATTAGTTCAAATACATTTCTGCATATGAAGACTTTTCATTCGAAAACAAGAACAACTATGAATTTACTCACAAACGACATTGGATCATAGATTTGATTAAATGGTTGATTTTAAATATTTTGTGAGTTTTTTAATAAGAAATCGATTGCTCCAGGGTCAACCATCAAGTTCTATGACTTATCTTTTGCAAGTTTTTAACTTCAAGTTAAATTGATTCTTGTTTCGGCTCAAATTCGGCTCGAATGATTGTAATCATTTGCCAGTGAAATTCTAAACTCAAAAGTTAAGTTCAATTGGAGCTCGACCCAAGGTGCAGGCCTTTAAGGCCGTCGGCTAGGCCCTAAAATAAATAGAAATTTGGGGCCCCCAAAAAAATTTATGATCACTTAAAAATAATTTAGGGCCCCCAATTTTAATTAATCTTATAATTTTAGAGACAATCTACGAACTAATAAAAAATTGATACGATAAGAACGGGTTTAGGTCTAACTTTAATAGATTTGGACGTTGAATGGATAGAATTATTTGGCCCCTCAAATCAATAAATCGTAAACTCAGACGTTCTAAGTTTAAATATTAGCAGTTCCTTGGAAGCAGAGTATGAGGGATTTATTCTTCATTAATGCTCTAGTCTGAACGCAAATGGTCTACCTTTGATCGGATCGGAAAAAGGATTAATCGAGATGCGTGTAAACTAACTCGAATATCCTTGACAGTTGATAAAAAAAAACAAATCGACAAAAATCTAACTAATCGCGAGATAAATCCGTAAAACTATACATGATTATAAGTAGGAATGACATAAATTAAGCAAATTCTCACACAAGACAAACATAATGATTATTCCTTTATTAAATTTAGTTTTCAGTCTTACCTATTTTTACGTAAATACTAGGTCCAATCTTTTGTGTAATTATTTTTTAAATACACACGAAACACACATAGATTGATTAAAAAATAGATCGAGTTTGAGTAATTTCCTATTCAAAATTCTTACTGACATTCATTTTTTGAAAAATAATTTTGGTTGTTTTCATAAATTTCTATTCTCTTTCTCTATTCTTTCAACTGATAACATATTTAATTATATTTTGGTCTCTAAATATTAATAATTTTTTTTACAACCAAAGCTTGAATGCAAAAACTAATTAGTTTTACACCTCAAATACAAGAAAAATAATTTTAAAAGAATGTATTTTAATATTTATTTAATCATATTTATATTACTATATTAAATATGACTAAACTCTCATTGAATATATATTTTCGCCTAGGTCCCATATTTGTCAGGGCTGGCCGCCCCTGCTTCCAGTAATGTGATCGTTGACAGGGAAAATAAAAAATAAAAAAAATTGGTTGGTATTGTTTGACAAATGACAATGTATTATGTGGCAGATAGGATGGGAGAATTTATTTATATATATTCAAGGAGACTTCATTTCTTCTTGCGAATGTGACTTGTGCCTTGTTGCCAACAACACAGAAGTTAATGCTTGCAAATTGCATTCTTCTTGCCTGAATATCTGGTGAGAGATGGGATCTACAAAGCTGTCTGGATGGCAACACTTCAAAGAAATTGTCGACAAAATCGAAACTATCGCACTTTTTTTAAATGATACATCATTTATTATGAATTCACATAGATTTATTACGTATAAATGATCCAAGGTGGAGCTTGGCGGCTCTACCCAATTCTACAGTAAACCAAGGACTATGGTACGGCTAAAGAAGAGATAAAACACACAGATTATAATAGTTCACCAATTGTGAAGTTAGCTAATTCATTCTGATAGACTCTTTTGTTCATTGTGAATTGTATATTGCTTGGAGGAGACAAAGGGTTATAATTCGTTAAACGCCTTTACATGAAAAAGGTCTTTATATTTATACACATAGGTGGCTGGTTTTTATATCATCATCACATGGTCCCCAAGTTTATTAGAATTTTATTGAAAGAATATTAAGTTGTTAGATGTTACATTTTTTAGGTATGACGTGGGCTTCTGAGGTGACCTTGTAACCTATCTTCAAACTTGGATATATTGTGGTCCTCCATACCTCTATAAGAGTCTACTGTGAGGTTGTTTTGCTTTGAGACGACCTCCTATTCTTTTAGTCAGCTCGTGAGCAAGGGAGCTCGGTCCAAACACTTGTCCTGAACTAGAGATGATGATTCCCCTTGTGGTGCTATGGACAACCTGTACACTTGTACCTGTAGTTTTTTTTGGGCAACCTAGATTCTTTTAACTGAGGATGTATGTAAATAACCTTAGCTTTTCATCTGAGGATGGACTCATAGCCATAAGATTGAGAGATAAACCTCGTCCATTGACTCTTTTGCGAACCAATTACCTAAATATCTTTTTATTTATTTATGACATCATTTTTGAGTATATCAGTATGTAAGGATTGAGAGAAACAATTACACGAAAGACACTAAAGAAAGAATTCTTATTTCTTCAACAGTTACTGATGTTTGTGTGGAGCTTTCTCCAAACCAGGTGAAGGTCTAACATTCCTTATATTTTACAGTGATTTACAATTATAGCTTCCACATTTGTTTGCCTTTTGTTTCAGTTTTGGTGGGTGAACATCTCTCAAATACAAGAAAGAGAGGGGGGGGGGGGGGGGGG